CTCCAGTACAATCATCCAAAATCTCCAGTACAATCATCCAAAATCTCCAGTACAATCATCCAAAAGTAAACGACTTTTCAAGTTGGTCCTTTCTGCCATTTCTGCCACTTGCCAGCACCTATTTATTTTAAAAGTAAAATAAAATAATATTTAAATTAAAGTATCAGTTGAGGTGAAGAATCTGGGAGGCTCAAAGGAAGGTATACATAGGTGTACTGATGATCTCAGATAGTACTTTGGGAAATCTAGAAGGTTGGTTGGTAATTCTTAACTCAGTTTGCATATTACGGTATTATATTTTGTACATTATAAACTTTATCTACTCTACCCATCCCTAAATTTATAATATTCTCTCCCAGGAATTTGTATGTAAACTTCTCTAAAGAGCACTTAGGCTAACAGACGGTAATGCTGGAAAGGTAAAGTTGAGGATACTTTGATGTCATCTGCATAATGTCAAAGGAGCTACTCCATATTGCTTACATATTTGTTTAAAAATGGCTGAATAAGGCTAGATATATACATAGATCAAAATATGACATTAATTGTTCTTGTCTTTAGATGCTTATTTGCTTTTTCATAACAATTCTTGCTTAAGTCCTATTAATTTCAAAATATTGTTGCAGGAAGAGGGGATTTTGATACAATCAGACCTTTTTGGTTAGTAGCTGACCTGTATATTTCTTTCCCCCAGTAAATGTACAATGGGCCAATGGACCTGTACAGAACAACCATGCCCCAGCACGTGTTCTTTGGAAGGAGGCTCTTTTGTCACCACTTTCGACTCTAAACCATACAGGTTTCATGGTGTCTGCACCTATATCCTTTTGAAGGTATTTTACATATTAAAACTCTTGTTCAGCTGCTACTCTCTTTAATTTCATCCATCTCTTAACATTTTCAGAAGTATCTTCTTGGTATGTGATATTAAGATTATTGTCCTTTAATTAGAACATTCCTTTAAGATTCTCTTTTTAAGGATGTAGAGAGACATTTTCCAGTCTTTGGACCATGCTATTTTTCCATATGCTTGCCATATTCTTTATTGTTTCCATGCCATCCCCCTTTAAAATCTCTATAGGGATTTTCCTGAAGGCTCCTATTTATTGATTGTTTTAAAGGCTATTTGATGTCCTCCTCAACCACCATTGGTTCTTCCCTTCTTCTCCTTTTCTCTTTCTCAAAAGACAATGTAATCTGACTTGGCCTTTTTATACAAGCTTCCTTCCATATATTCTTTCCATCTTTTCCCCCCCATGTTCACTATCACTAACACTTTTTCAAGCACCTTATGATATGAGAGGTAGGAATCTTCCCATAGCTTTTCAGGTATTCTTGAATCCCTTGTTCTTTTCCCTGTCATTTTCTTCTATACTTTATGAGTTCAGTCAAACTATCATTTTTCACCCATCATTGAAAGTTTACTAGCTTTTGCACAGTCTCCTCTGGCTTTTCTTAAATGCATTTCTTAGCTACTTCTATAGCCTAGTTTTATAACCTTTTTAGATAGCTAGTGTGTTCTTTGTTATCTTCTAGCTTCTTGTTTTATGCCTTATACAAACTAAGAGTGCCACTCTGTTCTTAACTATTCAAATATATGCTCACTGATGTCACTTGTTTATTTCAAGCTAAGTAGGTATAGGACTGCATACTGAAATCTTAATCTGCTTTCAGTATTTACTTTTGCAGAATAAAACTGCCATATTAACTGGTTATAGGGCCATCAAATTCTGTGTGCACATATAATTACATATAAAGCTTTTAGTAAATATTGTTTTATTTGTATAACCGATTTGCAAATCTCACTACACAGAGAGGCAAAAACTTCATAGGAGAATTAGCCATTATTATTTCCATTGTGTTTTTTTGTGTGTTTGCATGCCTTCAAATCAGTCTTGATTCTTGGTGACTACCTGGACAAGTCCCTGTAGTTTTTTGAAGAGGTTTGCTATTGGGTACTTCCTAAGGCTGAGAGAGACTGACTGGCCAAAGATCACTCAGTTGGCTTTATGCCTAAGGAAAGAAAAAGAATTCACAGACTCCCAGTTTCTAGCTTGGTGTCTTAACCACTAGACCAGATTGGCTCTCTATTCTCATTGCAATATGGCTATTAAAGGGCTAAATAACATTTTTACTAATATCTGCCAATGCAGCTTTCTTAAAAACTAAAACTATCTCTCTAGCTATCAATGTTAGTCTGACTGGTCTTGACCCATGTATCTTTTATTCTATCTTTTGAAGGCAGGGGCAACATTGACCTCTAGTCATCTTTCTTGTTGCCTATTGTCTAACCTTTCTAAAAAAAAGGTAAATCAAATCATCAATGAATCATTTCGATACCCCAGGATGCTGCCCATCTCTTTGTGGTGATTTAAACACATTTATATTATACTTAAATTCTTCAACTATGTTTCCATCAAGTTGCTGTCCTGTCCTGCAATCAATCATTCAGAATAGAGCTTGAAGGTACCTAAAATATGAATGAAACAAATGTGTTCACAAATATAATTAGTCCAGTGAGCCAGGATCTCCTGCACAGTAGCTCCATCCTGAGCATGAATATATGGGTTGCTTCTGCAAAACACTGCATGGTTTTATAAAATGCAAACATTTAACACAACTTATGAAGCTGGTAGAGTAGTGATAGAAAAGAAGTGAAAGGAGGTGTGTGTTTTTCCCCTTCTGCAAACATTGCATTTCTTTCTCTTCTAGAGCTCCATGTTACCACACAATGGAACTTTAATGGCTGTATATGAAAAGTCTGGCTTTTCCCATTCAGAGACATCCTTGGCAGCTTTCATTTATATCTCAGAAAAAGTAAGTATCCAACCCACCGATAATATTTCACCTGAGAATGTACAAATATGTAGCCATTATAACATAGGAACATTATCCGCCCCGTTGACATTCAATCTACTTAGCGGTGGATAATGTTTTTCAGATACAAATACACAGAGTGCAGAACAGAGTGAAAGGTAAAAGAAATATATGTGCCTGGAAGCAAAAATAATGATATGAAAAATTCTTTGAAGCATTGACCTGGTTTGCACATTATGCAAAGCTTTGTTTGTTTAACCAATGACTTTATTATGTAAATAACATTTGAGTAGTTCTCAACATTGGTTTGCAGAGTCCCTGGTGTAGTCACTCAATCTCACAAGATTTTAGCATTTTCTCTGAAATATCATGAGATGTTGTAATTCTTTCACAAAATTGCAAAGGTTTTAGGTGCAAATACTGAAAAGACATGAAACTTGATGGATTTGGTTTGAAGAAGGCTATTTTATTTACATATATTTTATATTCTAAATCTAGCCACAGAAAAAGTTCAATATTTTACTGGTCCTAGCGCTAACCCTGACTTCTAATTAGGATTCTGTTTTATGCACAGGAGAAAATTGTGATTTCCAAGAATGAAGTGTTCAATGATGAGAATGAACTTAAATGGTTACCTTACACATCAGGTAAGAGAACGGTGAATATAGAACAAACATTCAATATCTTGACAGTTTTGTCAACAATGTGGATATTACCTGTATAAACTGTATTTTCTGTTAATTGTATTAAGATGTATTATATTCCAGCTAGGTGGGAAGCATATTTAAATAAACACAGGCTAAAAGCAAAGTTTGCAAAAAGGTTTTATGTTCAGTTTAAATCATGATTTAAATAGATAAAAATGCACTCAATATGATTTGGTAATTTAATCTATTGTATTTTAGGGGACATCACCATCTTCAGACAATCATCAACTCATATCCAGATGCACACTCCTTATGGGCTGGAAATATTAATTCAAACTGATCCAGTATTTCAAATTTACATTAAAGTTGGACGCCATTTCAGAGGCACAACCCGAGGTAAACACTTTCCTTGATTGCTGACTTCTCTGTTTGAAAGCTGGAAGCCCTTGTCAAATGTTGTAGAGCGGCGGAATAACCTGAGGCAAACACGGAGCGAACTTCAGCTTTTACTTTATTGTAACAATAAAGGGTTGCCGCGGCTGCCGTGCTAACAAGGCAGCCAGCTGGCAGACAACAGCTGATGCCGTTTGACAGCTCCCTTTTATAGCTGGCTGTCAAACGGCATCAGCCAATAGGAACAGTCCGTGTTCCCGCTGGAAACACGGACCGGAGTGAAGACTTCAGCTCAGTCTTTTCCGAACGCCACATCAAAGAAGTTTTATTTTCTACTAATGCAAATAGATGAACCTTTCTACCAAAAATTTTCTTTGGGAGTGGGACATAGATCTCATTATTGTTAACATCACTATCCTCTTTCAAATCAGTCCAAATCTGTGAAACAAGCCATTCATACAGGGATTTCTTTACTGAATCTGGAAGCCACACAATATTGAGATGAATGTACAGGCGGATTTTCTGTGCCATACTTGAGGGGAATCTAGATTGTTGAAAGCATTGTCCATAGTTATTAATCAGGAATTATTCTGATTCTCTTCACTGTCTCCTTGTTTTGAGAGTGATATATTTATTTTATTTTTTATTTAAGGAATGAGTTAAGCAATTCAGAGAGAGAGAAAGAGAAAGAGAGAGAGAGAGAGAGAGAGAGAGAGAGAGAGAGAGAGAGAGAGAGAGAGAGAGAGAGAGAGAGAGAGGGAGAGAGAGAGAGAGAGAGAGAGAGAGAGAGAGAGAGAGAGAGAGAGAGAGAGAGAGAGAGAGAGAGAGATGATGCACAGAGACAATAGAACAAAATAGAATCATACACACAGACACCCACACACAAATGTTTTGTTATACAGAAAACAAAAGCATAAGGCTATTTAAATTGTAACCTATGTAATCACAAAACCAGTGTCATGAGCACTTGAGGCAAAACTGAGATTGCTTCTGCTAAGGATGTTTTATATATAACTAAAAGGAATGCTTCCTTTTTTTAATCATTGTTACCTTCTCATTTCACCAGGGTTATGTGGTAACTACAATGGAGAAACCACAGATGATTTCATGACCAGCATGGATATTACTGAAGGAACAGCTCCTCTTTTTGTGGATTCTTGGAGATCTGGGAACTGTCCACCTGCTATTGAGCGAGATACAGATCCTTGTTCTATGAGTCAGCTGAATAGTATGTAAAGTCTTTGGTCCTTTGTGGGCATGGGAGATGGGAGAAGATTTGAATTATTATAAATATACACAAGGAAGGTCATAGAAGTATTCCCCCCAAAAAAGTTTTCACTTGTGGGGAAGAGAAGAAATGCTTATGAATAAGACTTCTTGTCTAGAAGTAACACCATCTGATGGTTATTTACTTGTTTGTTTCGTTCTGGTTACCTCATGGCTCTGTTTAAAAGATTTGAAAAATGGTGCTTGAGAAGCAGTGTGGTGCCTTTTCCTTCTGTATCCTTTCCTGATCTAAATCATTTCTCCCTCATGAGAAGCAGCTACAGCCTCATGGCTGTACTCAAAAGAACTTAGATCCAGCTATCCTATTCTGGCCTTACATAAGATTGAACCACTTGTAGGGGAGGAATGATACATAGTTTTTTATCATCAAAGCTGCTGTCTGTCTTCTTTTCTGAAATATATGGAACAGTATATAGCAATAGCACTTAGACTTATATACCACTTTACAATGCTTTACAGCCCTCTCTAAGCGATTTACAGAGTCAGCATATTACCCCCAACAATTTGGGTCCTCATTTTACCCACCTCAGAAGGATGGAAGGCTGAGTCAACCTTGAACCTGGTGAGATTCGAACTGCCAAACTGCTGGCAGTCTGCAGAAGTAGCCTGCAGTATTGCAGTCTAACCACTGCATCACCACGGCTCTTATCTAGTGGTATTTCAATATACATTCAGTGAGACCCAGTGAGGTATGGTGGTTAAGGCACCAGCTAGAAATCAGGAGATTGTGAGTTTTATTTCCCCCTCAGGCACAAAATCTGTTGGTTACCTTGGGCTACTCAGTCTGTCTCAGCCCTAGGGAGAACCACTTCCAAAAATCTTGCCAAGCAAAATAAGGGACTAATCCAGGCAGTTTCCAGAATTCAACAGTTACTTGAAGGTACACAAACACAAACAGAAGCAAAAAAAGTTCAATAGTACAATTTTTACATTTTTACCCAGTATTAAAACTCTTAGAGGTACTTGGATTCTTTACTGTGTGCTTTGATAAAGGACAATAACATAAAATTGAGAGATTTCATCCCAAAACTAACTAATTTCCTTCCTTCCTTCCTTCCTTCCTTCCTTCCTTCCTTCCTTCCTTCCT